TGTACTTAGACGACATTGTAATTCATAGCAGTATATGGAGAGATCATCTTAATCAGTTAACAGATGTTTTAAAGAGACTGGATGATGCGGGATTGACAATCAAGCTAAAGAAGTGTACATTTGGAGCAAGGGAGTGTACGTATCTTGGATATCAGATTGGCAAAGGAGGGGTCAGACCAGAACGAAGAAAAATTGAAGCTATTATAAATATGGTAAGACCACAGACAAAGAAGGATGTAAGGACGTTTCTTGGAATCACTGGATACTACCGTAGGTTTGTGCAGGATTATGCTTCGATAGCAGAACCCTTGACTGAATTGACAAGGAAAAAGCTGCCTGAACGGGTCATATGGAGTGAAAAGGCAGAATTGGCATTTCAGAAGCTAAAAACAGCATTAACTACAGCACCATTAATGAAAAATCCGAACTTCAACCAACCATTTATATTGCAAACTGATGCTTCAGGAGTAGGAGTTGGTGTAATTCTTAGTCAAGGAGAGGAGAATTTAGATGAGGGACCAGTTGCTTATTTTAGTAAAAAGCTACTCCCGAGAGAACAAGCATACTCGACAGTCGAAAAAGAGTGCTTAGCTATTATTCTAGCCATCAAGCATTTCAGTGCATATCTCATAGGGAGATCTTTTATTATTCAAACGGATCATAGAGCTCTTCAATGGCTACACAAGTTTAAAGAGAAGAATGCAAGATTGACTAGATGGAGTTTGATTCTGCAACCATATAATTTCACTATACAACATCGGAAAGGGGTAGCAAATGCAAATGCAGATGCACTTTCTAGATTGGAGAGGAAGAGCACTTCGTGCCAGAGGGGAAGGGAGGAAATGTAAGAAGTTGTTTCTAAATGAATCCGGAACTCTCTGTGTACTATTGTAATTATATATTATGTGTTTATTCAAGTATATTCTAGAACAATCATGTAAAGTATTCTTGTATGTTATAGAACCTTCTGGACATTTATAAGATCTATATAAGTGTGTTGTTTGTTAGTTGTGTTAGTTGTGTGTTAGTTGTGAGTTAGTTTTGTTAGTTGGTTTTGGAGCTCAGTTGAGTCTCGTGTTGATTAAGAATAAAGTTTGGTTAACAGATAGTTGGAGCGTCTGTTACACCCTTTAACATAATAAAGTGTACAGTGTAGCTCTTATGATGTTCCTTACTGTTCCTAATGCTGTCTCTCTTACACTAGTAACTTGGATTTCCTAAAGTGACATTAGTTATTATGGCATAGTTAAAAGGCGGTGGTGTAAAAACCACACTTCCTATTGCGTTTACATGTACTTCATACAGATAATTTACTTACTGGCTCATCAGTTAACAACTTATCATCATAGTAACTTGTTGCCATCTCCAACATTTCAGGCCAGGGTCCAGACTATAAAATGAGATTAAAAATTATTGGCATTACATGTAATGTATGTATAATGAGGCAGTGTTTTCACAGAATAATTATGATTATTCCTATTATGCAGCCTTACATGTAATTCGTACATGATGGACTCACAGCCTATGGTATTTTAATGCAAAAAAGAGTCATAAAACTTGGTAACAAACTCTCTTTTAAACTTAATAAACTATATAAATTAAATGACAAAAAAGTAAATTTTATTGACAACCAACATTTGCCAATTTTATGCCACGTATAGACTATGGAAAATACAAAATTTCATTTCTTAGCAAATCAAGTGATCAATATGAATTTATTGATAATTGAAGTAATGAAGTTGATACATGGTCATATACATTGCATTGTGTGTACATATATTTTTTCACTTACTGCAACTTCAGTTAAAATCTCATCATCATAATAACTTGTTGGCATCTCATACCTTTCTGGCCTTGGTAATGAGAACATTGACTAATGACATAAAGAGCAAATTAAATTGACAATCCAACATCTGCTAATTATTATGCCACTTATAAACTATTTAAAAACTGTAAAAAAATTACAATTTTATTTCTTAGCACATCAAGTTACCAATAATTTTAAAATGTACATGTATACATGCTTTTTCTTGACTCTATTAAAATAAACCTAATAATGAAATCAATTCTGTCCTTCTAGTAGCTTAAATCCTAAAGTGGCATCAGTTATAATGGCTTAGTTAAATTGGCAGTTTTTAAAAGTCACATCAAACTTAAAATAGTAATTATGCCTTCAATGCAGGTTCGCTATGACCAGTTTATATGGTACAAGGCCACACCTTCACTGCATCTAATACAAATTAATAGCCTTACTGATTGTGCTTCATAGTAACGCAGCCTTTCTGGTCGTGATGACATCCATTGCCTTTCTGGCCATGATGAGGACACTAACCTTGGTGAGGATATTGGCATCCATTGCCTTTCTGAATGTGATGAGGACAATATCTGTACAATGGCATAAAGAATGTAAATGAATAAAATTAATGAAAAAAAGAATTTTATTGACAACCCAACATCTACTAATTTTATGCCACTTATGGCTATGAAAAACACAAAATTTCATTTCTTCAGTAGCAAGTTAAGTGATCTCAAATGAATTTATTGATAATTGAAGTAATGAAGTTGATACATGGCCAGTTAGCCACAAACCATATAGCTGGAAAGTTTCGTGGCCAAAGCTTTCCTGGTTTTCGTGGTTTGGAATGACACCATGAAATTAAAAACGACAAGTCAATTCTGTCTTTCTAGTAGCTTAAATCCTAAAGTGGCATCAGTTATAATGGCTTAGTTAAATTGGCAGTTTTTAAAAGGTCATAAAAAACTTATAGTTATTATGCCTTCAATCGAGGTTCACTATCACCCAAGTTATATGATACATGACTACACTTTCTTTGTGCATACATGTACATCAAATACAAATTGTTACTTACTGACTGTGCTTCATAGTAACGCAGCCTTTCTGGTCGTGATGACATTTGTTGCCTTTCTGGCTGTGATGAAGATATTGACTATAAAATGACATAAAGGTATATAAATAATGATAGTGTTGTTGTATCATTATTTTGATATGCAGGCTTTTACATGTAATTTGTATCATAGACTACATGTACAGCTCTTGGCATTCTTAATGCAAAAAAGAGCTACAAAATTTGGTCACAAACTCTTTTTTTACCATCAACTATAATGACAAAAAGTACATTTTGTTGACAACTCAACATCTGCTAATTTTATGCCCCTATATGATGTAACAGTAAATTAACATTATTGATTATTATTGTATTATTAATTATTGTACATATATTTGGTAGATTCTAGAACATTCATGTGGACTTTCTGTACACTTCTAGGCAATTCATTTTTGTAATCACTCTGTAAGTTTCTAGACTGTTCTCTGTACTATATAAGGCATTCTTTTGTCTTTCTTTCTGTTGTCTTTCGTTGTTGTTAGTTCTTTGTTAATCATTGTCAATTCAATTATTACAACAGGTTATGAGCCCAGTGTTCGCTCTATAGACTAAGTTGAAGACGTGCAGTTCGAGAGTAGCTTTGAGACTTCAGGAATTCTAATCCAAGCAGTATGGCCAAAGTAGACAAGTGGACAATCGACAAACTCGATTCGTCAAACTGGACAGTTTGAAAGTTCCAAATGAGGCACTTTCTGTTGTCGAAAGGGCTGTGGGACTAGTGGATGGGTCGGAGGTCTTACGAGAGAATCTGATGCCTCAGCAAGAAGCTGATTTCAGGAAGCGCTCACAAAGGGCACTGTCTAACTTAGTGATGTCAATTAGCTCCTCCCTCATCTACTTAATTACAACGTGTGAAGACCCAAAGGCTGCGTGGGATGCTCTGAAGGGTCATTTCGAGCGAGATTTGCTGGTAAACAAGTTGATGTTGAAGAAACGATACTTTCAAATGGAGATGAAGGAAGGAACTTCTGTTGAAGCACACATTAAGAGTATGAAGGAATTGACAGATCAACTAGCAGCAATCAATGCACCCATAGCTGAAGAAGATCAGGTGGTAACACTGCTGGGTAGCCTACCTCCCAGATTTCAAACCTG